CATGTTAATAACTTGATTGGAATTATAACCTTGAGTTGACAGTTTGATACTTTGAAAATTTTGAGCCAGCCCTACCCCCAAGGGCTGTAGGGTGGGGCTCAAGGGAGTCAGTGTGCTAAAATTTCTTCATTTTCCTTGTTTAGAATCAGAGGTGCTAGTTTCAAATCCTTTTTAGTCTGAAATCTGTATGCTTGATATTGAATAAGGTGGTTTTATTGTTTTTTGTCACTTTGAATAATATTTCTGTTCATGTTAAAAACGAAATCAACTCTCTGTATAAATATATATCAGGTGACCGTTAAGGCCCATGGGCCTCTTGTTGATGAATAAAGTTGTCACTTTCAATAAAAGTCGCGGCAATTTACCGACACACACATTTACAGCGAGATAGATGCGAGTTGTATGGGGTAATGTGTTTGTTGTTATAATAAAAAAGGCCGGACACAGGTTTTCAGATTAAACTAACCACATTTCGCCTATTGCTTTACTATACAAATTCTTTTCCGTAAATAATACATTCACAAGGACTTTAAAGGAGATTACAATAATACAGTGCGTGCTACATACCTAAATATTCGCTTATCTAAAACCAGTTATTCCCTTACCGTACCCCACTTTCACTTCGGAACATGTTTACTTCATCGTATAATACAGCGATTTCACCAGAAAAGTGTATACAGGGTCCATACAAAAACACGTACGTGCTTGCTGCAAGGGGCCTCCGGGAAAAGTCTGTCTGACTTTATCACTGTCGCTGGATAGGTTGACTATCAACATGAAGCCTTCCAACTATACATTGTACGATATTGTCCAAAATCAGATAAAAGTTTTATATGTGAATGCAATCAATTATAATTGTCAGCTTACTTTTCAACACGTTAATCTGCGTATGAACCGAACCAACGTAGACTTGCACAAGTTACATTTCAACACACTCATATATCGTCCATAAATATTTGTACAGTTGGTGCCTACAGATTATTTTTCATTCGATATTTGGGTTTATATTGATATATTAAGCAATGGTTCAGCAGAATATTGTCATGTTCCGGAGAGTTATGTGGCCCTTTTAATAGCAGACACAACACATGTACGTTGGATTGGACTTGCGTACCTGTTAAATGAATATTTTAGCTCACCTGGTCCGAAAATCGGGATGAGCTTTTCTCGCACCACAGACAGAGATATCCGAAGTCAAACACCATGCTAGAATTTTCTATCTCGTCCGATCTGTCTTGCACATTTACGTGACGTTTCGCGGAATTTTAGACTACGATGTTTTTTTGTTATATGTATAGTTTTGATTTTGTTAGATATCTGATGTTGTAGATAAAATATAATCTACACTGTGAAACACTTTGTCATCTATGTAAGAACGGTCAGCATTTTTTGATGCGGAAGCATTTAAATGTAGCATAAGTAGTGAAGAGGTAATTATCATTTAAGGCACCAGACGGGATACTTTTTTTCGAACGAAAAGGTGCGAGAAAAAAAATCAATTACGCCTCGGTTGGGATTTTGTTACAGAATCTTAACCCTCGACTGAGATAACCCGATCTCGCTCAGTTACAAGTAATAGATTTTATTAATGCAATACGTGATGTCCTTCGTCCGTCCGTCAACAATTTCTTCCAACGACTTCTTCTTTCGAACCGCTCAACGGAAATTAACCAAATGTTACTGAAAACATCCTTAGTTGGTGGGAATTCAAAGTTGTAAATTGATGGGCTGATCCGTAGGGGGCTGCGGGGCGGGATCAACAAGGGGACATTGGCCCATATTGATTTAAACGACGGATCCTCTGAAACTAAGCGATAACATATAGAGGGGCAGCCCCCTCCCTACCCCCAGGGGGCTGAGGGGTTGCGCCAAAAAGGGGCTATTTGGCCATTTTGTTTTAAGCAACTTCATGTCAGAAACTGTATGATGGATATGAATCACACCTCTTTGAAATATGTCCCTTGGTCATGACATATAGCAGTTTTACATTAAGCCCCAACCACGTCATGCTACCAGCCTAGTAGATGGCCATGCACTTGGATGCTTATTTGCAATATTGTATTCAATGAGAATACATCTTGTCATGATTGCTTAAATATCCAGATGAGCGATACTGGCCTTTTGGGCCTCTTGTTTAAATTCCATTTTCTAGGAGCAGAAAACATTTTACTTGTATCACTTTGTTCCCATTAATTGCATTTTTGTTACAAATCGGCTATTCATTAAACAAAAAAAAATATTAAACTTCTCAGTATTAAGAATAAGGCGACCAGATATGATCTTACACTTTGCCTATATATCATCCCTCCTGTCATCGTAAATCAATCACACACAACTAACACCTCATGTGAAACAGAAAGAAAGTCAAATTCGGTGTACACACACATGCAGCCACGTGTTAATATACCATAAACTATTATGTGTTGATGTCATATTGGACCTTTCACGTCTTACATTATCTTTCTATCGATGCTCTCATGTATGAAATATTAAGATCTGAGGTGAAAGGAAATAACATTAGGTGGATGTTCATGTTTTAATATTTCAATTTGTTTACATTGCATTCACTGTGTGCCCTGCAGGTAGGGCGTAAGAATTGTACTTGCTGCCCCCAATTGCATGATCGTAAGAGGCGACTAAATTTGGGACCTTATCTCTTCTCTCCTTTCTAAATAACTTTCTTCTTCCTAATGTCTCCCTTGACAATGCCTCACTTTTGGCCATTTGTTGAGCGTTCGCCCCTGTGAGGAAGGCTTTGGGTTCTGTCCCCTGGCCGAGACATACCAAAGTCTTTAAAAATGGTAGTTTCTACTCCTGCTTAACGCTCAGCAAATTAGGAGTGGGACGACTGGTTCGCCCGTTGTCAGTATAATGTGACCGGGTGGGGCGTCCTGCTGGGTGTCTTCGGCAGTATGTTTCAGTGAGGTAGCACTATAAAGTCGGCATCAGTTCCGCGCTATCACAAGGAGACAAACACGAACATATCGCAGCCTCCCAAAATACACACACATACACTACACGCATGCATCTTGCACACAGGGGAGGCCGTCCTTAAATGACCTTAGCTGTTAATAGGACGTTAAACAAAATCAAAAAAACAAACAAACAAGCATTCACTGTCCAGATACAGCCAAACATGTGTTTATGTGGTCTCCAACTAATACTTTTGACAGATCGCAACGTAGCTAGTTTTGCTTCTTGTAATTGCTAATCATAAACCAACAAAAACATTGTTTCCAATTTTTGTCATTTTTTATTAAAATGACGGAGTTGAAATGATATAACATATATACAACAAGAAACGTGAATAGTGATTAATAACTCACAATTCACCGAAAGGTGGAGCATAACAACAGCCACACGACCAGATGCATCTAGACGTGTCAATTACGAATAGATACAATAAGGTAATTTTGAAGACCCCAAAACTTATACATAGGCTTAGTAGATGGAACCACATAAATGTATTTATCTATAATAAATTGTATTTTCACAAGCGTGGAACATCAATTACTACTCATGTTTATGCAGGTTTGAGTGCGATTCAGGGTGGACCCTGCTCCCCTATCGTGGCATACGTCACGAGTCCACATGACAGAGAAGCTCATGACACAGAAGCTCAGGAGCAATTCTGACAAGGATTACGACGTGTGGGGATATTGCAGGTACTTCATAATCTATTTTACTGTGTTAAGGTTTCCGGGGGAAAGACCACACCACATCAAGCAAAGGGAAACTCACGATCGTAGAAGAGTCTGTAGTGTTCTTAATTTTGCACTTGTTGATAAATGTATGCCATATAGTTAGCCATTAATTAAAAACAATTGACCAAAGGCCGTTAGTGACCTATATATTGATCTTTGAAATAATTTTGTAATTTAATAAGATGCAAATTGGTCGATTTGACGTATAAACCGACATAAGTAACTTTACACTATTATACGATATGCGATATTGATCGCTATTTTAATTATCAATTTCCCACAATCATCATTCGATATATTTTTGTAGGAAATGCAAAATGTTACTTTACAGAGAACTGTTAGTTTCTATAAGATCTATTTAAACTGGTTTTGCAGCTGTTGGAAAGGAAACCGACATTTCGTCATCTCTTTGCCCGAGTGAGACAGGATCTCACCGTGCAGCAGTTGTTGACTCTTCTTGAAGCTGAATTTTCTGAAGCTGGTTATTCAAAAAGATTAAACGAAGAGAGGACATACCGCATGTTTGTCAAATATGTCCGTAATGTTGCCGGTATGTACTCTTCTTTCCTGGTATGCCATGGTTATGACAGATACAATTGATGTCAGACACGACAAACTTGCTTTTGTTCAATGTAAAAGCATTGAACCAGATATCACCAATGTGTTGAAAACAAAATTGAAACGGATTACCTAAAACTTATGAACGATATAACTTACCTATAAAATAAATATTTGTCTAACAAATCAGATTATTTGGTCATAAATTATTCATAATTGTTCCTCATTTGCAGCAGGGAGGCAGCCTGGGATCAGCCTCGGTAAGATCCTGTCATTTGTTACGGGTTCGGAGGAGGTGCCTATCCTGGGGGTTTCCATTTCCCCGACTTTATCTTTCGTGGAACTACCAGGAGGATTTCCTACTGCTACCACCTGTACTAATTACCTGAATCTACCGTTGAACCTGGTGGAAGGTGACATGTTTGAAAAACTTTCCATGGCGTTCATGTCGCAGTACTTTGGTATGCGATAGGACCGTTGTTATGATGGCACTGCGTCCGTCATCCGTTCTCCGTCCGTCACCTTAGTCATGATATTCGGTCAGTAGCTTCTTGAGGTGGCACCGGGCAAAGCTTGCGAAATAATGATCTTGACCTACTTTCAAGGTCACAGTGGTCAAATATGTGAAAAAACTCGCAACGGCTTTTTTTTTTTAAGATTTCAGACTCCTAGAGGCATGAGTGAAATTTCTTGACCTATATCTAAGGTCACATATTTTTTGACAAATTCGTTAAAACACTCGAACTACTTCTTCTGTAAAACCGGGACCCCTAGAGTCATGATATTTGTCCAGTAACTTACTGGTATGTGTGTTACGAAGTTTGCGAATAGAAATAATCTTGAACTTTTTTCAAGGTAACAGGGGTTAAATTAGACAAAAAAGCTCTGCTTTAAATTTACCCAATAGTTTCCAGGTATTCAGTGCTACAAATTTTGTGAAAGGAAATGGCCTTGACCTATATTTGAGATCACAGAGGGCAAATTCGTTGAAAATCCTACATTCGTGATATTTTGCCAGTAGCTATCTGGTATACGATGCTACAAAGTGACCTATATTTAAGATCGCGGTGTCTAATTGCTTAAACGACATCATCTGAGGCACAAAAATGCTTACAGTCGTTATATTTTGTCATTAGCTTACTGACATAGAATGCTACAAACGTTGTAAAAATATTTAACATTGATCTATTTTTAGATAAAACTAACTTTTATCAAAAGATAACTGAACCACCTAGGTTTTGTCCCCAGTACAGGAAAGGGGTGAAAGACACATCAATGTTAAGTGTGTAGACCGCCGGCTGAAACGGACCATGGAGAAAGGGACGGTTTTATCAATGGTTAGGTTGTAAACTACCGGCTTAATGGGCCATCGTAATTTTTAACGTTACATAGGTAAAACGTATTCATATATAAAAAATATGGAGATGTGTTTCATTTCAACAACTCTTATTGTACATCTATTAGAGATGTGTTCAATAACAAGTTAATGATACAGGTCCATTCGGCCTCTTGTTTATGTTTTCTGAGAAATATGTGTATAATAAATGTACAATAGTATGTAGTCTAAAATGCAAATAAATCAAAATATTTAGCAAGCAATTGGCTTCCTCGCACATATACAGTGAAGTACTAGTATGTTATTGATTAGAAACTCGGTTAGCTAATGACAATGTATACCCACTCCCATTCCAGCTAGATACTAAATGACAGCTCAATCATAAAGTCTCATGCAATCTGCACTACAACTTTAAATAGAAATTATTTTATAAAAATATATCCACATTACTCATCGACATTTCTTTTCTAAAGGGCCTTATTTTATTAACACGTTGATTCTTACCGTACATTTACACATTTATTTGTATTTTTGTGATGTACTAAAAATACATTTATATCAGACAAATAAAACATAACTCCTTAAGAAATTGTACTGGTATTGTTTTAATTGCATGTTTACCCTGGAGAAGCATTTCTATATCCGACATATACTGCCATCTGTAAATAACTAGACAGATACAATTTAAAAGATTCTAAAGAGTGTCCATGTTACTTAAACATTTATAGATTAATGCAGTAAAATTTAATTGAAAACGAATCCTCCAAAACTATACACAATTCTTGCTTTTAATGTTACTTATGAGCGCATAATAGTATGATGTTTAATATTACTTCAATTCTATAGATTCATTTTGCTTACAATCTTTGCAAACCACAGATGAATATTTTCACGTTTTTGAAGGGTTTCTTTATGAAATCATTATTGGTAGCATATGTTATTTTCTCATATAATGTTATCTTTGGTGAAAACAATCAAAATTGTGTTTTTATATCATGATCTTACTGCGAGAGTATTATTTCGTTCATGTCGGAATACATAGTGTCCATGCACGTATCCAAACGTGTAACATATAAGAAAATACACATATCTTTCGTTGTATAGCTATTTATAGATGACAGTGTATGTACATAATGATGGTTTTTCCTCCCTCATCTTACCCGAAACTTCGTCAAAATGTATGTGGAAAGTAATGTTCCAACAGTATTACAGGATATTTCCCCCGATGTCCCCAGCTGAATAATCATCACCATAAGCGCGTGACGTTACATCACATATTGACACGGTGTCGCGTTTCGGGATATCATCCATGAAAGCAGTCGGTCCTCCAAAATCTCTATCATTAAAAACAATTTTATCTTTTATCAAGCTAAATGATATACATTGTATCATTCTTAAATTAATTTTATATAGTTTTTAAGTGCGTCAATCCAGTTGTACGCGTCGTGCAAGCCATCTCTTTGAAACACACTTGTGGCAAATGTGTCATATGCATTTGATCCACTTCTAGTCGGTTTAAAACATACCGTCTTTGCCCACTCAATATCTTCTTCATTGACAGTTTGCAAGTGAAAATATCAGTTTATTCTGCCATACCAGTGAAATGTATATGATATTCAACGAGGAACCATTATATATCCTCTATTTTGCACATTGTACAAGTTAAATGGAAAACGTTCCCTACTCATTTTATTCTGAATAATTTCCAACCTGACACATAAGTACATGTTCATACTAACAATGTTGCGCGACATTTTGAATGCGTTACCCAATACAATACTGTTGTTATCTGCTATTATCTGGTAAGGTTTGCAGAGCATGTGTTTTGATTGTGTATTTATTTTAATACCGGAGTGTGTGTAACAAAATCAACCACTTATTGTACCGTCGCTTGATCTGCAGCTAAACATGCGGCTTTTAATGCAGTGAATAAAACGTACCGTTCTGGTTGGTCAATATAAGCGATCAATGACCTTATATGACCTTATATCATGACATGCGATGTTATCACATTTCTACTATACAAGGCATGTTTTATTCTGTTTATTACATACTTACTAATACAATACGGAATGCTCTACTATCTTATGATCTATTTTTCTTTTCAAAAGGGGTGTGATACGGATGTTGCGGGCTGATACGGCGATAGCTGATATTGGTTAGAGCAATTATTTCGTATCGCATATACAAAAAAAACGTATTTATTAGTAAGTATTTAATCAGCCAGCACACTGGTACAAATGTAATGAAAAATGTACCTGATGTCTCGCAAAGATTATAAAGAACATCCGGACGTCCACCTGGAACAAGGCATCTCTACTGAACGAGACACGATGACAATTCCATTCGTCTGCAATTTTGTCTAATTCATGCTCTAAAAAAGGCATGAAGCAGTAACGAAGACATCGTCTAAAATAACAAGGGAGACAATATATTGTAAATATTGTCCAAGATAGCTCTACATAAAATAAATATAAAATTGAATATATAACATTTGATACAGCGCCCTATCTAGCTAGAATAAGTCAGTCTAAATGGCTTTACATTACATGTTTTTCATGAAAACAATGGTATAATCTACTTTCTCTTACTATTATACCAACTAAAATATATGTTCCTCTCACATCACCGACATACCTTTTTAGGAGATGCCAGATAGCATTTCGACTTAAATATACTGTATATAGCAAAAATAGATTTACCTCAACAAAATTGTTTAAAACCTTACGTTTCATTAACATCTCCTCTATGGAATATTCCAGCTTGTTCGAGATAATTCAGAAATGTAATCCACCACTGACTTAGTCATCTACGAAGCATCGACCACCATGCTTCAATTCTCTGTAAAACACTCCAGAAATAAATGTTTCATATGTATTATTCATCATTTTGTGTTTCACTCATTGTAGACAATATCCCGCTAAACTATTAAACTATTGTTATACAAGCAGAAGTATTTAATAAAATACATATTGAAGTCTGCTTCGTACATACCTGATTGAAAACTGAACGGACTACCCGGTAACTGTCGATACCACAAAAACTGTCTTTTGATTCATGTCGGAAAACACATTGCAAAGCACCCATCATTGTGTTTTCTGTACCCGGATCTGACTTTAAACTGACTGGACAACCTGTAAAAAGACAAATATATTCATGAAAATAAAACATTTGATAATTTTATCTTCATGTGAGAATTTGGATATTTGACATAACAACATAAGAATGCTACAGTGTGAACTAAAGTCACTTTAAATATTACTCTACTTACATTATATGACATGATATATGCATAACCCATGCACTTACTACGGTACACTGTGTTGAAAATCGTTTATAAAATTTCTCCATTTATTGCCAAATAAATTCTTATCTGTATGTTTTTGTAGTATATATAGCATATCCCTTTTAGTAAATTGATGATTTCCAAGATACAAGTCAGGTCTTCTCTGAAGGATATAAAGTCTAGTTCTTGTTTTTAACTACTAATGTTACAGATGTATTCATATAGGAATTGAACGGTAATTTTCAATGTTCATGCCGGTATAAACGTACATCGGTTACATACATATTCATCGACTTGCATCTATACCGGCATGATCATTGCAAAAATGGCATTCAATACGTACATATATATTTACATTCTCATTATATAGGTATTGTTGATATAAATATAGGAATTTCTTTATTTTTTCGAACTGAAGTTTCTGTTTCGTCAGTGTATAGATCAAATACATGTACAGTGCAAACGGTATGCATGGAACAACCTAATTTCATGTTTGTTAATGACGGTGGTCTCACGTTATACAAAAATCAATGTGATCATAGACCTATTGGTTCTTACCTTTAATTTTGTTGACACAAGACACGTAGTACGACGTAACTACGGCTGGGTCATTATTTGAAGGTGATACATTAAGCCACATTATCTTACCCGAAAACCTTTTCCATCCAATGTAGTTGGTAATTGAAATAAGATAATAATGATTAAGTACGGTAGGTAGACACAGGAAGCATTATTTATGATATTTTTCCAAATTATTGTTAAATCTATGGGTGGTGCTTTGCTGTACTGTAAGTATGCAATATTACCATTAGAAATACAACACGACGATAATCACATAACTTAATTATAAAACGTGCAGCTTATTTTTGACATATGAACGCATTCATCAGATCAATGTTTTCCTGAACATTAAGCAATTACTAAATTTGGCGTTTTTTTCGGAGAAACTAATACATTTACAAAGTTTTAATAAACGAATAAACTATTGCTGATGGTAAAGTCATACTTTCATATA